AGCATCCGGAGATTCAGGAGAATCTTCAGGCGGAGATCGATCGGGTGGTGGGAAGATCGAGATTTCCAACAATCGACGATCGCAAAAAGCAAGTGTTGCTCTTCAGTTTAATCAATCACAATCCTTAATTAATTAAACTTATTGATGATGTAGTATGCCGTATGCAGAGGCGACGATTCGCGAGACCATTAGAAAGGGAACTGTGATTCCTTTGGGAGTGGGACGGAGGGCCACTAAGGAAACGACGCTCGGCGGGTATCTGATACCGGAAAACACCCTCCTGTTGCCGAACATCTGGGGACATCATAACGACCCGGAGTTCTGGGGCGATCCGGAGAACTTTCGACCCGAACGTTGGATCGATTCCGATGGAAAGTTGATGCGAAAGGACACCACTTTCGGGTTCGGAGCTGGGAAGAGGCTGTGCGCTGGTGAAACTTTCGCCCGCAACACGATGTTCCTTTTCCTCACTGGTCTCATGCAGAATCTCACGTTCGCTCTACCGGCCGGGCAAAAGTTGCCCGACTTCGAGAATCAGTTGAACGGGATTTCGCTCTCGCTTCCAGACTACTGGGTCGAAGCTATACCCAGATAAGCGTTCGTTTCTTCTTCAACATTCAATAATTTTGATGCACGTGTAGTTAAATTAGTGTAAATCTTTGATGAACGATGGGACGGACGGACACACATTCAAATCAATAGTACCGCTCACAAATGAACACGAATAAATGTATATTGATACAGATTGATACACATTACTTGAATACATAAATAATATTAATATATTTCAATAATAAATTCGCAATAACCCTGTTCGATTCGATTCACTTGCAATGAACACTACAAATTACATTCAATATCGACTTGAAAACGACATTAGAGAATCAATTGTATTGTAGCGTAATTCTTGACTAGGGTTGATGTAAATTTTGATTTAGACCAGGAATTTTAATTTCCAATTTATGTTTATCGCAAATTTATCTGATAAGAAATTATTCAAGTTTCAATTACTGCCATGATGGTGCAATGCTTTGCAAGTGAAAACGACAAAGATCTACAACTACTTTGCAGATTTCTTCAAAGGTACTCGATTCCTAAAAAAAATAAGGAACAATACTTACGTGCATTGTTGGTGATCTAACCTCTGAAGACATGCCCGCACATTGCAGAAACTTGAAGTTACCACTTGCGATCTTCACCAAATGGCAAATGTTATATAACTTCATATATTTCGATAAATCTACGAACATTTCATCGACGATAAACATTTCCTTCCATAAAAAACAGTATCAATACTAATAATGTCATATCTATATCAACAACAAATACAAATCATGTCCAGAGAAACGCACGTCACGTTTCAAATTCAATATGTAATAACATATATGTTATGTTTTCATATATATTTAAAAGATTCATTCTTTTCAATCGCAGAGATTTCTTTGTTTGCTTTTTTATCTTTTCTCTCAAAATATAAATAAATTGGAAATACATAGTACATATATATATATATATATCATCTTTTTCTTTCTTTCTTTCTTTCAAAATTAATCAAACAATATTTATAATACGGATAATAATGAGAGCACGTTATTCTCTCATATAATTATCAATCATCATCATCAAACATTTTCATTTATTCAGATCCCTGGAAAACAAAGGCTCATATTTAGTAGATTTCATCGATATATATGGATTTATTTAATCTAAACTCACAGTTGGGTCGCAATCGGCACAATGCCACGAGTAGCCCCGCTTCTTCGGTGTTTTCTTCAGAGGCGGGTCTAAACACGTGAAGTGATAATTCTTTTGGCATTCGTCGCATCTAAAACAGACATTTAACATTAAGAATTTCGGGTTCAATCGCTGTTTTGTTCATCGTCGTTCATTACTTGACCAAATTACTGGGTAGACCGTCCTGCTGGCAAACGTCACAGACGTTTGCGCCTGTTGGTGGCTGCTTGGTGGGCGGCGGTTTCTCTACTGGATAAACCGTCGGAGTAGGTTGTTGTATCATCAGAGAAGGTGGAGGAGTTTCATCGTTGTTCACGTAGAAACATTGTGGATTCGTGGTCGAAGCCACCTCTCCGGCCGGCAACGGTATAGGTTTAATCTGCAAACATTTGTAAATTAATATCATCAGCCCACAATTGCATTGTCCATCTATTATGCGAAACCTTGATGGTGATTCTCTTGTGAGGTATGGGATCTTCGATATCCAGACTCTTCTTCTTCCTCTTGCGTTTGTGCTCTTTGACCGGACCGCCCATATCTGGAGAATACCGATTCCTGTGCTTGTCTCGTCTTCGTTTCTTTCCTGACCGTGAAATGATCATCGTCTCCATGCCGTCCGCCGTCGCTACGGGACCGGTGCTGCTGTCCAGCAGGGGATTGTTGATGTAACCAGCAACCACGTCCATGGGCTGTAACTGCTGCATGCTGCAGCTCTGCTGTTGTTGTTGTTGCTGCTGCTGCAGAGGCGGCGGCGGCGTCGGCTCCTGAAGTTCCAGTTGCATCTCGGGCATAAGATAAGGAGGCTGTACCATATCGTCTTCCTCTTCCTCCTCCTCCTCATCATCGTCATCTATTACTATGGTGTCCGAGTTGGGCGTCGGCTCGACTGGTTTTATCTTGACCTTCGGCGCGAATACCTCCGTGTCCTCCTTACTGTATCGGCTCCGACTGCGACGCGGCGTCTTCATCTCCTCAGGTTCACTATCCGACGTTTTATCGCACTCGGAGCACTGCCAGCCGTACAGCTTCGACTTTTTCGGTAATCGACTCAGCGGCGGATTCAGACAGTTCAGGTGGTAGAACAGGTGGCAGGTATCGCATTTGGCGAGCATATGTTGATCGCTGTGCTGCCTGCAGATGCCGCACTCGTTCAACTGCAGCGGATCTTCAAAACAACAAAACATCATTATTTTCTAATCTGATTGGAAATGGAAATATATTTCAATTTTTACCCTGCCTCGCTGCATGACTGCTGAGTATTCGTCCGGTGTCATTTCTGTTGGCAGGGATGTTGCTCAGCGGGAAGCCGACACCCATCTTGAGGGCGGCTGCCGTGGGCACCATCATCTGTTGAGGAGGTGGCCTGCTCGGAGGCGGCTTCCCTATATCGTCGACGTTCGGTAAACTCTTGGTCGGACAAGCGCTCAGTATCGCGGAATGATATTTGTGGATGGATTGCTTCAATTGCGTTTTCGTCTTTTCCGTTTCGTTGTTTACTTTCAACAGCTGCAAAAGAGCAGTTAGCATTAAAGATAACACAAATATATATTAAAAAAAAAACATCGTACCTCGTCGTATTTATTCCTCAGATCCTGCTGCTGCCTGAGCAGCGATTGGTTATTAGAGAGCAGACTCTCCAAAGTGTCCTTCATACTTTTGACTCGGTCATTTCTATCCAGATAGTACGCAATGAATTCAACGGTGAAGGCGGGCGGTATGTGCCATTTCTTCCTGATATCCACGAGCGCCGCCATCTGCGCCTCCTGCATCTCGAGCGCCGCCGAATCGATTCCCATGAGATCGGCCTTCTGCAGCAGTTTCCTGCAAGCAGACGCGCTCGTCGTCAGTAGTCTTGGCATCTTTTGAGTCGGAACTGTAATTGCACGAAATAATATTAAAACATCGTGTCTATCGTGCATTGTTTTTACCCCAAGGCGGCGTCTTCAGCGATTTCAAATTCATGTAGTGCATCTTCTTCTTGGCCAATTTCCGCTGAATCCGCAACTGCTCCGGCGTTTCAGAGTGGCCCTCCTTTTCGAATTGCAGCTTCCTATAGTGCGTGCGCAGCTGCAGCGACATGTAATTCCGTTTCCGCCTCTTCACCAGCGTCTTGTCTGAATGCAGCTTGCAGTGAGCGTAGAACGGGTCGGCCTGATCTTGCTCTTCTGAATGCGCCTCCGATAGGAACCCTTCTCGTTGAGCGCTGAAAGCAATCGTAATTATATTACTCAATCACTACTAATTGTATTCAATTGTACCATGTAACATGAAAGTAATTCCTGCACATGCCTGCGTCGCATCCTATGCAGACACCGGTTCGCGAGAACCTTTGGTCCAAGCATAGGCTGCAACATTTTGCGCCCCATTTGTTATACTGCATCTCGAACAGGGTGACACTGGATAATTTGTCGACTTCCCCGAAGGCTACTCCGGGTACGTAGAGGGCGCACACCAAGTGCACCCATTTGCCCACGTCGGTTTCCTTGAAAACGCCACCTGAAATCAATGCAATATAATTTTCAAAAAACTAATTATCTAATTGATGTTTTATTCCTTACCCGAATTAGGGCATAGTTCGCACACCGGGTTCTGTACGCCGGCTTTGCAGGCCTCGCAGAACCAGGGCGTCGTCGGGGACAGGGAATCAGTGCTGGCTAAACTGTTGGAATCGGAGATTCCATAACAGGCCTCGTGCACGGTGACGCCGCAACCGTCGCACTCCGCTATTTCATTGATCCCATCGCTTTGATCCCCCAAACATCCGCAGCAGATGAGCAAATTCGCATCTTTCTCATTGAACTAGAAACAATACCACTTCGTTATGAGACAATTGTTTGATCTAATTTACTGACGCCAACTAAATTTAGCAAATTAATAAAAACTTGCAGAAAATAATAATAATAAAGCTTCAAACAAAGTGAATATTACTTGTACATTAGACTGTCTGGCGGCCTGCTGGATGACATCGGCGACGGAGAGACCGTTCGTGTGCGGAGACAGCTGCAGATTCTGCAACTCGTTGAAATCCGCCGATGCATCGGAGTCGTTGTCCTCCTCATCCTCTTCACCGCTCGAACTATCTGCAATATCATTCAACAAATTACAACCGACTCTTCCACACCATTTAAATAAATAATCACCTTTTCCTCCTTCGCCGTTGCTGTCGATGGAATCGTCATCGCTGAGATCGGGATGATCTTCGATCCGGAAGTCCGAATCGTCCGAACTTTCCTCCAAGTCGAAATCTAATATAGAAGCCTGCGTCTCCACCGGCTTCACCCTTCGTTTGTTAGGATCCCGCTCGACTGCAAAAACCAATCACAACTGTTAAAACAAACGCAATCTCAAATGCTGAACGATGACGACAACATTCGCGGCAACAGTTTCAAACAACGAACAAATTATAAAATTATCGCACAATCAACGATCAGCAAATACATTTAAAATCTCCTCTGTTTTGTGGGTGTATCGATTTCGAAACTGATGCTACCTTGAACCTCTCCGTGCATCGAATGATCTCTCTCTCCCTGGACGAGCTCGCAGCTTCAGCGCTGCAGTTGCTTAGCAACGGTTAATCTAGCCATATGCCATATAATGAACATGAGCACATACATATAACAAAACAAAAAAAAAACGTATATTGATTGTACACTCGCTCACTTTACCCAGTAAATAGTGCATACAGCTCTGTAATGAATTAGGAATTTGTAGCTATGACAACGACCCTTATTTCTTACCAAATAACTATTTACTAACAATTTGTAAATTGTCTCGATTATTACATTTCAATCATATTGCCAATTTCGTAATTTACATCTGAAACCGTTTAGCACATTTCAAAGCGTCAATCATCGACATTTATATGAATGTTTGTGTAGCAATTTCTTCTATCTCATCGCAGCCGAAAACTGCTAGACTAGACAAAACAAATATAAATAAATGCTCGCTCTTAAGCACACATCAATTATCGTTCAATATAAACATTAATTTGTGACAACGAAAACGTCTTTTGATTATTACATCTTCTTTTCTGAATGAATTATAATAAGATTGCAATTTAGGCAATATAATAGTCATCATCTTCAACTTTTAGATTGTATTTGTTTTTCAATTTCATGTTTAAATAAAACATTTGCTACCATAGCAACGACCATTTTGTATATTTACACACACACCTTATTCTCTCATTCATTTCTTTTCATATTCAGTCAATGCTGAAAGGAAACTTATGAATAGTCATCTATATGCTTAATAAAGTAATAAACTAAAAAGTTAGAAAAGCAGACTTAAATTATTTAATATGTTTTAACAAACATTACAATTACAATTGGAGAATGCAACTTGTTGGCGATTTAGAATTAACAAATTGAGTGATGGTATTGCATCAAGAAGCAGATGCAACATGCCGTTGTTTTGTTTGTTTCAATTTGACAATTGAACAAGAAGACGACGTTTATTTTGATGAATGGATTTCATTCATCTTGAACGCGGAATTGCAATGGAACTGTTCCAATTGTCGTTTGATGTTTTGCTATCGTCTTCCGATCGATTGACGATGATTAAATCCGATGTCTATACGTATTTTATCATTATATTTGACGTTTCTTCTTCTTGGTGTGTATATATGAAAGACGTGTTTTGTTTCTTTCTGTCTCTCTTCTTGTACTTTCTTTTTTTTTTTCGACGGCTTTTTCGGAGACGCGACGCTAGTGGTAGTTGTAAGTAGAATTTGGGGGTTCCATACGTACTTGAGCCCATGGTCTACTAAGCCGGAGCTTCGATGATGATGATCTGCATAGATTCGCGACGATCACACACACCCACAACGGGAGAGGACGTTGATGAGCGGGTTCCCGGACATAACCTCAGATTTCTGGTTGTGTTTTGTTGCAATAGAGGCGTCAGTTATGGCGGTTTGTTCGCATGTCTACTGTTTTCTCTGTGTGCATGCACGTCTGTTTGTGTGTATTATGGCTGAACGTGCATATGCATGTGCAATTTACGTGCAGGGATGTTCGTTTGGTGGTGGTGGTTGTTGTTGTGCTGGAGGTGGTGGTGTATCGTAGCTGCTTGCTGCTGCTGCTCGTACAGCCACGAGTAAAAGTTTCGATGTCGTATTGATTTTGAAAAAGGCCGGCGCGCCGGGTATCATCGCCACAGCCGACACCACCACCACAACCGCCGACGACGACGACTACAACAACAAATCCGATTCGGAATTGGGGAAAATCTTCATTCATGGATTGGGGAGGTGTGTGATCGGAAGTGCACCTTACTTGCCGTTTTGATGATGAAATCCACGTCCTCGGCGTTCTCCAGGTGCGACGACATTTGGGACCCTTTGCGCGAAAATCCAGCTACCAAACAAATGAACGCACACTTCGTAGATACGCACGCACCTTCGCTCACGCACTTTTACTAACTAGAGAGAGAGAGATCTTTCTTTGGTAGTGGTCTAGACTAGAACCCGGTCTCCGCACTTCTCTCTTTTTTTTCTTCACCTCCTCCTCTTCTTTTCGGGTACCTCCACTTCTTCTTCCCCGACGTCGTCCTTTTTTTTCTTACCTGTATCTAAATTCGACACAGAGTGTTTGTGTGTGAGAGAGAGAGAGAGAGAGAGAGGAAACTCCTTCAGCTGCTGGCCGCCTGGGATCCCTGCGTCCTTACAAGATCTCCCTTCCAACTAATTACCATTTCACCCCTCGCTGCAAAATAAAAAATCACGTAACTTTGAAATCAACTGCAAAACAAACTTACTAACTAAATGAAATCATATAATAAACAATTTAAGTAATCATCAAAATTCTATATCATTTTTTTTTGTATAGATTAAAATAATTTGAAAGATCCATAAAATCCATAGTCGATCTGTTACGCTGTCAAATGGCTTTTACGTAATCATTCCACAGATGTCACATCAATCGTATCTTATTATTAATACTATTATATACACATAAACACGTTTATTTGCAGATGTACCAACTCACATAAATGCATTTCAATATTTTTTAATTATTCCTTTTAGTTATATTAGTAAAACTATGATAATATTATTTTTATTAAAGCAAATTGAATATAAATTTTCGTTCTAGCGTTGGGAAAAACGTTGTGAAAACTACAAATGTAATCATTGATCTTCTGAGATAATTCAAACAAATCTTTTTAAAAAATCTAAATTACATTCATCTAAAAATACTTCATTCATAATGTCAAAATTAGCCTCGATCTTTCAACGACAGATGTCACATCTTGTGTAACAATTTTGCCTCGCGTTTACAATTCTAATGGATAAAATTTTAAAACATTCAACTTCATATACAGATTACCTCTGACGTAATGTGACAGGAACGTAGCTAAATGGTAAAGGCTATTCCAAGAGGGAAGAAGTATTTTTATGGATAATTGTACTAATATTTATAAATCTTCGAACTTTCTACATTTTTTCCTTGCCATATTTATAAAATGAATTAACACATTTTTATTGACAATTAAGTCATAATTATATGTACTGACTGACTTGATTTTTGTTTGTTTATTAAATGCAAGCTCGACATAACTTTGCAAACCTTTTGGATCAGCAAATGATTTATGAAATATGATTAGGGTTTTATTTTTTTTTTGTGCACACGAAAGTGCAGTCAAAAGTAAATTATTCAATCCGTTCGCGCGACGTCACGAGGCCGATCATCATCGCATAACAATGCATATGCAAAATACGTTCGTCCCTAGTCTATAAACATAGTTAAAAAAGAATAAAATTAAAAAAAAAACCTATAGGTTTTGATCACATTTCAAATTGTGAAATTTTTATTTTTGTTATATTCAGCATACGTTTCCAGGCATGGTATGACAATGAGTAAGCGCAAATAAATCACCTTTGATGGAAACGGTAACCAAGGACACGGAAAAATAAAAATGAATGAAGAGCTACCGAATAATCGAGTCCATGGAAACGGTAACCAAGGTTTTGAAAAAGAAAAACAAGTTATGGTAGATTGATTTTTACGAATACTTGAATGCTCCTATCCGCGTACATATACATCTTGAGGATCAATCTTAATCTAATTGAGATTCTGGGAATGTTCTGCATGTAAACACTTCCAGCGAACACATCTCGTTCGTGATGTCATTGGTATTTTTGCGATTTTATTAAGGTCGCGAAACCTGCGATAATTGCCAACTCTTATTATTATTATTATTTATCGTCCACCACTCTTCTCGCGTTCGATTTACAATGCAAATTGAGAAAATATTAGCCGGTACTTCCCCACCACTTGTATATTACTTTACTTGTTTTGTTATTATTGTGATGGCGTTATAATTGCTAGACGTGATTTAGAAAGCGTTTCGGTAAGTTCGTCGTCATTATTGACTGATTTTTTCCTTCTAAACATCTAAACTTTTCCTTCTTTCCAGCACTGATTAGAAGAGCGAGGTCAGAGCGTATCAGCAGGCAGCATCCGTAGAGATTATTATTATTATACCACAGACCACAGTTCTCCTCTGGACGTGAAACAGTGAGCATCCAGTCACGATGGCTTCGAACATCAACCTTCTGGTTATTACCTGCGCCCTATTTGCTTCGGTAACGTACGGTGCGGTTCTGAAGAACCAAACTACAGCCGATCATCACCACGTCAGCTCCAAGGGTATCTGCCACTTGGAAGTACCGTAAGTACAAAACGAAATTAATTTAGTCCAAAGCAGATAATAACCGTTTGTTTATGTTCCAAAAAAAATATATAATCTAGAACGATCGATCTTATCCACGAAGACGAAAGAACCGGCAAGATCCCAGCAGGCAATGGCGTAAGTATTTTGTTTTGTCCAACAAATTTATAGTCTTATTATTTTGTCCCCATTTCTACCACTCTTTGGGTGCCTTTCGACCACCCACAGCAATAGCTTTTTTTTAAACTCTCCATCTTCGTATCGTTTTTTTTATAAATGTAAATAATTTAAATTTCATTGGTAACAATATCGCATTATCTTTTTTAAAACTAATTGATTATTTAATGAGTTAGTAAATATTGTTCAGGGACGGCGGCAATCAGTTAGCGAAATAATATGTTAAAATATACGAGATTGGTCATTGCGTTGAACTTGCTAATGGACAAAGTGGATTGTTAACAATTGTTTTTATTTGTTTTTTTTGTTGTTGTTGATAGTCAAGGGCTGGATACAGCAAGATCCAGATCTGTTGCTCTGGTTACCAACTGTTGAATCACAGCGCGTTCTTCTGCGTCCCGGTGTGCGACAACGGTTGCGAGAATGGCAACTGCACCGCTCCCAACGTGTGCGAATGCAAGAAGGGTTACATTAAGGATCCGAGTGGTCAGTGCGTGCCCACCTGTCCGATCGGTTGCCTGAACGGCGTCTGCTCCGTGTCCAAAGTGTGCTCCTGCAATACCGGTTACACCCTCGACCCCACCGGCGAGATGTGCCTGCCCATCTGCAAGGGAGGTTGCGGCATCGGCGGAGAATGCGTCGCCCCGGAAACGTGCAAATGCAAACCAGGGTACTGGTTATAATCGATTAGGGGTTACCATAGTTACTTATTAATTACTTTTTGTTTTCTGCAGATTCGAGAAGAGCGTGCGTGGTATCTGCGAGTACCATTGCGACGGCGGATGCGAGGGCGGCGATTGCGTGGGTCCGAACAAGTGCGTGTGTCGTCCCGGTTTCGAGAGGAAGGACGGCGCGTGCCGTGCGATGTGCGTGGGCGGCTGCAGAAACGGCGATTGCGTCGGTCCGAATAAATGCGAATGCAAATTTGGATGGAAGCTGGACAAGAGCGGTACCGAATGCCAAGCGCACTGCGATCAGCCCTGTCTTAACGGCATCTGCTCAGCACCGAACCAATGCACCTGCAAGACGGGATACGCCAAGGACCCGCAGAAGAGCAACCGTTGTCTGGCCCACTGCAAGGACGGTTGTCCGAACGGCGTCTGCTCCGCTCCCAACTTCTGTCTCTGTAACCCTGGTTACACCAAACAATCGAAGGGTAGCAACGTTTGTATTAAGAGAGAGCGCAGATACGCCATCCGCTACGACCTCATCCCCGAGCAAATTGAGTAATTAGAATCGAACATCTCATCATAGCCTATGATGCTTTCTTATTATGTTCCCATTATGTTTTTTTTTTGTATAAATATGTCTAATAATTACAAAATATAATAATAGATTTAAAAGTTTAAAATAATGAATATATAATATAATTCCTCTAAAACACGATTAAAATGCATTATCGGTTTAGTAAAGGTCAAGAGAAAGCAAGGTCAAAATGTCTGATAAGTGTTAATAATCAAGAGCCCTAAGAATCGTGTAGAGAGGTATTGTGTAAACAAGTGAAGCATTTTGATAAGAAAACTAAATAGAAAGTTTGGCTCTTGATGACTCATAAACAATACTTGTTTATGTTTGTACAGTGGATAATTTGAATTGCTTGAAAATAGAAAGAATTTTGTAGAATTCTAGTAAAGTAATTAAGATGAATTGTAAAAGTTTGAAAACTTTTGAATTCGCAGTTCGTAAACGTCACGTGCAGATGTCGCGCAAATCGGCTGAAAGCTGAAAGAATTTGCACCACGAAAAACCGTCGGCTTACAGAATTTGTATATTATCAATACACATTGCAATACGACAACAACAACAACAGTGTCTTAAGTGACTTGTAATAAGTTGAGAGTTGAGCAGGAAGAGGTCGTCAGAGAGGAGGTATCATTTGAAATTCTGACAGTGGAAGAAACGGAGGTTAGGTCAGTTGTCATGTGGTGGAGTTGTGTTTCGCATTGAAGAGTATTCAAATAAGTATGCAATGGATCCCGACTACGAACTAAGTGAGACCGTCAGGAAGCAGGCAAAGGAAAGGGAGGCGAAAGGTAAGCTGTTCTTCATTCATGTCAAACAATGTTATGTTAAGTTTGTTGTGATTTCAAGACAAGAGTGAGAACATTGAGAAGATCAAGGCGATCATAAGCAATGAATTCAACAAGGAGATAGAGCTGCGAGAGAATCAGCTGGAGCAGATCCAAAATAAAATCACACAAGGATCGAAGCAGTTGCATTTGCTCAGATATGTGCTGGTCACAAGCTACTACAACAATTTGGATCTTCAGTTACCAGCTGAGGAGGAAGTTCTGGATGAGGCCAATCTATTTGATAAGCAGAGCAGGATCCATCCTGCAGTGAAGAAGCTGCTCACCAACAATTGCGATTCCCCATTCTCTCTGAGCAGAAGGAAGAGTACACGAACACAGCCAGTATCCAATAGTTTAGCCCTGCAAGACGTTCAGACAAAGACCATTAAATTGGAGAGCACTTTAATCGCAGAAGAAGTTGTTAAAGAGGAGGTTAAAGTTGAGGAGAATGTTGCTGTTAGAAATAGGCAGATGACAAAGAGGAGGGTTATAGTTGGGAACATCTCTAAGTGGATGCCGGGTGACAACTCAGAGGGAAATTGTACGCACAAGTGGATGGTGTATGTGAGAGGGCCAAAGGATAATCCGAAAATCGATGATTTCGTGCAAAAAGTCGTCCTTTACCTGCATCCGTCCTATCAACCCAATGATGTGATCGAGCTCAAGTAAGTTGCGGTAATTTAACGTTAAATTTTGGTTAATTTTCTAAATTAGTTGGTTCTTGTTCGCAGGGAGTCGCCGTTTCATTTGTCGAGACGTGGATGGGGCGAGTTTCCACTGAGAGTGCAACTGTTCTTTCACAATCAACTGAATAAACCGGTAGACGTGATACACAATTTAAAGTTGGACCGTACCTACACGGGACGACAGACTTTAGGTAACGAAACAGTTGTAGATCTGACGATTTACGGTGATGGTGTGGAGAAGGTGAATCCGCACGACGATATCGTCAGGGATCTAATAAAGAAGGAAATCGACGAGGATGTGAAGAGTTACGCGGACGACAATCAGTTCACGTTCAGTAGTACGAAAGATGAAATCGATATAGAGCATCACCCGATTTTGGAGGAGGAGGAGGAGGAAGAAGAGGAGGAGGATATTAAGAGCACTGCGCTTTTAGATCACAATTACTCCATCAGCGTGGAAGAAAATGGCAGTGGTGGCGGTGACAGTTCCATTAGCGAGATGAACGGGAAGCTGTTCTTCTCGAAGAAGAGGAGGAGGCCGCTGCAGGAGTCGCTGCTCAAGTCGTCGGTGGAGAAGCGGCTTAAATTGGAGAACGACTCGTACGAGAGACGTTTGAAGGAGGAATCGGTGAATGAGCGTTTAAAAGATGAGACCGAATCGAGCGAGACGTATAAAATTGTTTTACCCAATCACAGGTTTAAGAATGTGCTGGAGGCGTTGCCGTTCATCCTGAGGAGGTTAACTTTGATCACACCCTTCGCCGAGAATCAGGATTACAAATGCGCCTATCCATACGTATCGAAGAGCCTCGAGGAGTACAGCAAGTGGCCGGTCGAGAAGCGATCCAGTGCAGAGGTAAAATCTACAATTATCAAGACAAATTCTAATTTAATTTAATTAATTTAATTTTAGTGGTCAAGAGCGAAGCAAGTCAGCGAAATAGTGATGAGCTCGAATCTGCCCAACAAGAAATTCTGGAACACGAAGAAGGTGCTCGCTTACGCCCGAGCGCACTGCTTCACGGAGCTCGCCAATTACAACATGTTCCGCAATAAAAGCTACAACAGCGAATTCCTCGACTACCGACTGAGCGTGCATAATTCCGTGCCGAAATTAACCGAAATAATCGACAACGTCGACGTGGATGTTATAAACGAAGAGGACGCGGATCGCGCTAAAGCCAGCAGATCGATGAGACTGTACACGTGCAACGTGCGCGAAGAGTGCAACTTCGTAAAGCAGACTGCTTTGGATGTGGGCGTCGTGCTGAAACCGGAAGAGATAGTTCCAGGTGTTATGTACAATAGCGCGCAGAGGGCCGTCCTCGAAGCCACCCTCAAATTCGCAGAGAATTTAATTAGAAATTCGCGAGCACTTCTAGTCTACAAAAAAGATTTCGAGTATGCAAACAAAAATTAAAAAATAACCATTGATTAATGTTATTATTTTTTCAGCGAAAACACGAGCGAAATCGGTGTCGATGAAATCACGACCGTCCTGAACAATCACCGCACCGAATTCAAGAAAATTCAAAAGTTCAACCACGAACAGTTCAAATACTGATCACCGCCTTAGTTGTAACAGAGGAGAGAGCGAAAAGATAGTTTTTTTTAATTATTTATTACTGTTTTTTTTTAAATTATTAATTGTTTGAGAAAAAAATATAAATAAACGATATTTAAATATAAATCAAACTGATTTTATAATGATTATACTATTATTGCGTGCAAGTTTATCCAGTTGCATAATTTTGTTTTGAATATTATTAATTTGTACATAACCAAATAAAAACATGAATATTTTTAAACGAATTCAACCCGATTTTAATGCATTTGCAAGAAATATATCCTATAAAAGTACGTTTTTTTCCACTAGTTATAATCAATGTATTGATAATTAATCGCTTGTTATTGTAGATATATTAGTTGAGAAACTTGGAAATGTTACTGCAATAGGAATAAATCGTCCGGAGAAAAGGAATTGCGTGGACGAGGAGACTGCAGAAGAATTAAAGGAGGCTATAAAATCCTTCGAGGATGATGCGGATGCGTTCGCTGGTGTTTTGCATGGAGTTGGGGGCAATTTCTGTGCCGGATATGATCTAAAGTCTTTGACAGATGTGGGCCGAGTGAAGAGTATATTGAATAAGGAGACTGGCTTTATGGTGATAGATTTGAGGACTATTTTCTTAATTAGAATATAAGTGTAAGTTTAGCTTGCAGGGACCTACGATGAGGTACATTAAGAAACCAATGATTGCATCGATCAGTGGGTATGCTGTAGCTGGTGGATTGGAGCTGGCTTTGATGTGCGATATGAGGATTGTGGAGGAGACTGCTGTGATGGGTGTTTTCTGCCGGAGATTTGGTGAGAGGGTTTCAATATTAGTTTTGTTGGTAAAGTTTATTTTTTTTTAATTAAAGGCGTCCCGTTGATTGATGGGGGCACCGTCAGATTGCAGGCGATTGTTGGATTATCGAGAGCTCTTGATTACACGTTAACGGGTCGGGCAATTAGCGCTAAGGAGGCGTTGGATTGCGGCTTAGCCAATAGGATAACGGATGTGGGAACAGGTGAATCAATATGTCTTCCGAATTGATTGATTTTGCTAACGAATTTCTCGAATTCCAGGACTCGGACAAGCGATTAATTTAGCTGGATCTCTGGTGAAGTTCCCGCAGAGCTGCCTGCTTGCGGATAGGGCTTCCACCTATAACGCGGCGTTCGCTTCATCTTATACCGATCTGTTGAAATTCGAGCGCGAAAACGGAAGGAAAGTTGATCTCGCGTTGCTGACGGTGGGAGCTGGGAAATTTGCGCGCGGTGTCGGGAGGCACGGAAAGGCGCACCATCTGACGGAGATATCGGACATCCCCGATTGGGAGCAGGAGGAGAACGTGAAGATGAAGAAATGAGAAACATGTAAATAAATAATAAAGAATTAAAAAATAAATTAACTTGATTATTTTCTCGCACAATTTCAATTCGATTGGTTGCTCTTGCTGTGGCGCGACCTGGTTTTGCTGATGCGCGATGAACTTCGGGAAACGCGAGAACCTTGGCTCAAGATGGAACATCTCTGGAATTGCGTTTGAGCCCAAAATTATTGCTTTTTTTTCAAAAAATTTACTTACCATAGATTTCTCCACCAGTTTTCTATGGGAGACGTTCCTGAAGAGTCTCATGAAGAACTCGGAATCCTGCTTGGTGATTTTATTGAGCATAGGTTCTAGTTTGACGAAGAAGTTGTTCTCGTCCTCTGGAATAATAGCAATTCATTATTCATTTTTGGATTCCTTTCAAAACGAATTGCGAAACGGACTTTCATAAATGACGATCATGTATATCTGCTTGTTCTTCAGCACTTTGGTGGCGGATTCGTACGGCTGCAGATCGTGCACTCCGAGCAATTCCCCATTTTCGTCGCAAAGATCGAACAACACTGGAAATTAAAGCAAAACAAAAGGCAACAGGATCTAGAGTGTTTCTGTCACTTATGTTTACCGTTGGCATCGAGTTTGGTCTCCTCGTAGATGTAGTTCAGTAAAATTTGAATGTAGCAATCGGGATTGACCATCAGAAGTCTGTTCTTCCCGGGCATCGAGTACGTCAGTCTGCTCTCCCTGTAGTCGGGAACCTTCTGGACGCTGAAAGCGGCTCTGCTCACCGATATGTCCACGTTGCTGACGTTGTAATCGGGCGACGTCGAGAACTTGATGAAGCAGAACATCCCGCCACCTGCTTCCACACGCACACACACACGCAAATAAATAAATAATGGCAGCGCGTTAAATTGTTCCTGTTTTGTTTCAACGTCGATATCGCTATGACAACCGTGTATAAATACAAACAAAATCTAACAAACGCGGATTATTACACGACACATTTTATCGAAGCTTTATTTTTTTCTACTTACATTTTGGAAGATGGACTGGAAGTACCTGCTTTCATTGAATCCGGAGGATATTCAGGACGACGCGAAGGATGAGCTTCTGGCGACGATCGCTTGGTACGATTGCGACGATGGTTTGGATCGTGCGAAAGCCGTGGCTCTGCTGAAGATATCGCAGGAAATTATGAAGTTCAAGGCGGAACAGGTAAGAACTATGCGAATTTGTTTCCGTTTAGGCTAACACGATTTTGATTTGATTTGCAGGTCGAAGCCCTATTGGCCGAGCTCGATGAGATTGCGACGAAGCAGGGCGAGGAGGAGCTTCGCAAGGATTCCGATCACGAACGAAGCTCCAAATCGAAACGATCTTTAGACATTGACGGTAAACTAATTCGCTGATAACAATAACACAATATTTAATTATTTCGTTGTATAGATTTGGAAATCAAATATAGAAGTGTTAAGGCGAAATGCAAGAAGCTGCAGAGGATATCTGAAGAGGCGAGCGCTAAGTGCGAAAAGGTTTCTTTAAACCACTTAAATTTAACCAATTGAATCAATAAATTCATTTTTTTTCAGTTGGAGCGTAACGTCAAGATCTTGGAGGAAGAGAGGGTACATTTGCAGAACGAACTGCAATACTCGCAGCGCGACGAGAGCGGCTCGGATATCTCTGAGGTTATCAAGGATCAGCACAAAGATCTGATCGAAAATGTGCACCAGAAGAACGGGCAGATTTCTCAGCTCCTGATGGACATCGAGACTGTTGAGGCTGATAACTTGGTGCTTCGGACGAAACTTTCGGCGGTTCGCGATGAGCTGTCGGACGCTACAGAAAACCTCGAAAAAGAAGTGGAAAATGGAAGAATCAATGGAGTTAAACTCAAAGAATTATTAGGTTTGCAATTTTTATATTATTTACTGAATACTTTTTATTCTATTATTATTTAGAGAGTTTGGAATCGATTGATAAGGAGAACGAAAGCTTGAAACTGCAGGTGCAGGATATCGTCGAGGATAGGAAAATTCGCGAAGAAGAGTTCGAGAAGTTCACGCAGGAAATCGACAAGAGAATTGTTAATTGGAAGGTTCGTGAATCTTCAATGATTTGTTAATTTATTTATTCGATTGTATTTTTTTTAAAGAATATAATTGATGAGAAGAATGCGGAAATCGAGATGCTGCGAAAGCTGAACCAACAGGAGAAGACGAAAGCTGTTTCGAGCGATGAGAGCGTTGCCGAGGATCGCGATCAGATTCAGGCGCTTAGCAAAGTTTTGGGGGAGAGGGAGAGGAAAATCAAAGATTTGCAAAACCAATTGGAAACTGCAACGAAAGAGATGCTGGAAACTACAGAAGCCATCGAGAATATTGGCAAAGAACGGACGGGTCACGTGAGGAGTTTGGAGAAGATGAACGCGTTTAATAAAGAATTGAAGAAGCAGCTGAAGACCACGCATAACCGGTGCCAAGAGTTGCAGGAGGAGGTGAAATATCAAGAGAATTTAGCGGAAATGCGTGATATGGATGTAAGAATCTAAACCAATTTTTTTGCTTGTTTTCAAGATATTGATGTGTGCATGATTTCAGTTGAAAGAATTCATTGATCAGCTGAATAGTTCCGAGCTGAAGGCGAATCTGCTGCTGGTGGAGGAGCTGAAAACGCAGAAGCGCTTCAAGGAGAGGCAAATTTCCGATCTGGTGCGCACGAACGAGAAGATGCAGACGAACTTGGATAATCTGGAAAAGGAAAATTCGGCGATGCGCGAGAAATTGGGTCTGAAGGAGGACGATTTTATAAGCACGAAGAGTTCGGCGCAGCGGAAATTGAGGAAAGATTATGAGGATTTGCAAAAGGATATTGGAGGTTTGGAAGAGGAGCGTATCGAGATGAGACTCGAGATTCAAAAGTTGAGTAAAATTATTGGGGCGCTTTCTGATCAAATCTTGGATTTGGGCGAAACGCCAATCGTCGAGAAAATTGTTGATGAATCTGAGGTGGAGGAAGTAGCCGTCGAGAAACCTATACCAAATCGAGTGGAAATTGATGATGGTGTTAAGAAAGAGAAATATGTAGCCGTTGTTGAGGAAAACGAGGCTTTGAGGAAGGGATTGCACGAGATTTTGGAAAGCGTTCAATCTGAAAAAGGTTTGTTTTGTCCAATTATATTATATTTATGAGTTTATGAGTTTGTTTTAGAAGTTCGAGAAATAAAATCCGAAACTTTGGAGAAGCTACTTTTGGCGCTGGACGTGAAGCACATCACCGGATGGTATCATCCAGCGATGCGTCTGCAGGCTGAGCTTCATAATGCTCAAGGAATCAATGCTGAACTTAGGGAGCAGTTAAGGATTAAAAGGTAATCAATTATTTTTTAATGTTCATCAATTAATTGGATTTGGTCACAGGGAGGAGCTGCAGAACTTTAGGGAGCAGCAGGAACAGAGCAGGATAAAGTTCGAAGAAGCTTTGGCTCACACAAAAACTAGTCTAAATATAGATGAGTCCACGAACAATGCGGCGGTGATCGAGCGATTGAATAAGAATTTATTGAGCGTTTTGGAAGTAAATATTGTTATTATTTAATTGTTAATTTTAGTAATTTGTGTCTGCGTTGTAGAATTACGAGGTGGAGGAGGATGCGGGCGCGGAGCTCGTGGAACGTTTGGAGAGGTATAAAGTTGATTTCGCAATAATTCAAGAGCAAGTGAGTTTGCTTTATAAACAATACACGGAGGAAAAGAAGCAGTGGAGCGACTCGTTGAAAGATGGAGATAAACTGAGGGAAGATTACGAGTTGATGCAGGAGAAACTGAATATGATCGCATTCCTGCAAGATCCTCGAAACGATGATGAAGCACGCGCCAAGCGCACAGTGCAGATGTCTTCCGATTTGATTACGTTGAATCGGAAATGCGTTTATTGGGAGAACCAGGAGAAGGTTTACAAATCGCAGATTGATGCTCTGAAATTGGAAATGCTTGAATGCGAAAAGGCGACGTTGTGCAAATTGAATAAACTGCACGGAGAGAATCGCTCGTTGTTGAGTCGCTTCGACGATGATAGTGATTATTCTACTGTCGATACAACAGAACTGGTTAAGATGCGAAACGATCGCGATAATTTACTAGCAAAAGAACGGCAGCTGCTCTTTGCGCTCGACGATATCCGGAAAGTGAACGCTGATGAAATAAGATTGCTGCAGGAAAAGGTGACGAAGTTGGAAAGCGAAAAGGACGAGATGCAGCAGCGACAGCTTAAAAAATTGTCTTCGGCTTACGGTAACGAGGATTTGGGTCGCAGGTTGGCTCAGAGTGAGATCAACGAAATTGCCGAGAGGCAAAGAGCTGACCACACTAATCATTTATTCGAGCTGGTCAAAGAGCAGCTGCAAAAGTCTGAGGACAGATGCAGAGAGTACCAAAAGTACAATAATGAGATCATGCGTAAGAACTTGACGTTGCAGGAGAGTCTGAATGATGCTCAAAATAAGGTGATCGATTCCATCGAGTTGGAGGTGCACAAGGAGCTACAGCTTCGCTACAAACGGTTGTGTGAGGAGAAGGAGCAATTGGAGCGTATAAAGGTCGAGTTGGAGAATGAGCTTACAGTCACCAAAAAAGATTACGAAGCCAAAAAGACGTGGTCACAAATAGGGCAGTACGAATTGCTAGCGCTTAAGCATCAAATTGTTGATTTACAAAGCGAATGCGACGATAAATCGGTAATTGCTAGGCTTTCATCGGACGTTGTATTAGCGAGAATCGCTCAAACGGAAATTAGTAAGAAACTGCAGGATGGTTTAAAGATGTTGGCGCAAGCTGAGGATGACGCCGAACGGTGCAAGAATTTGTTAATTATCGAACGAGAAAAGTTTGAAACGCAACGCAGATCTTCGGAAAAAAAATTGAGGTAAACTCAAATTATTAACTTACAATTTAATTATATGAATTTTAATTGAGCCCTCTATGAAGTAAGAGAGCCTTACAAAAATTGCATTCGAAACCAAAGTCCTTTTGGGGATCTCAGGAATCGGATGCGGGCAATTATTTGTTGGGTGCCAGCATAAGTGTCCTCACTAGACGTTCATTGGAACACTCCGCTCCCCCAGACAAGGAAGAACGAAACAGCGAGCTTTCACATATCAAATAGTTCGCATTGCACCATTGTGTTATGTGGAATTGGGCGTCACGCCATCTTTACGCAACTTGCGAATGCAATACACCAGTGTTTCTTAATATTTAGTTATTCGTGTATAATACTTTTACAAAAATATTTATTACTCGATTACCAAATTTAACTTTTAATTCAACAGAAAAGTAGAAATAATTTTACTGAAATTATTTTAAAATTTCAGAAATCTGGAAGCAATTGTATATCAGCAACGTTCTTATTACCATGGACATGTACCGCTGATTTCCGAGCAGAAATTCGCTGAAAACGTGATGGAAATGTACGGCAACAAAAAAATATCTCGAGAGAATATTTTCAAAACCGAAGAGCGACTCAACGAATTGGAGACCATCAAAGACGGTTTAATGATGAAGAACAGCATCGTGGATGAGTTGAAATCTCTTTTGGATTCTGGCAAAGATGAGAAGGCTCAGGTAATCGAGTCCTGGTACCAAGATAAGAGCAATTTGTTGATTGAGGTAAGTTGAGTCGGAGTTATGGGAATTGTATTAACGGTGTTTGTATTTAGGAGTTGAAAATTAGGCGACGGTTGGAGTTCAAGGAGATGCAACTGGGAAGAGTGTCGAAGCAGGTGGAGGAGCAGGAGGAACAAATCGCGAAGCTGGAGTGCGAACTGCTGCAGTCGTTGTGCATACGCGACATCAACGATACTAAGAAAGTTCCCAGGAAGTTGGAGACAGTCGAGACGACAGTCATGGAAATTGTTGACAATTCGGTGGAGAGGTTCGAGAGTGCCACGCAAACAGTCGATTTGATCGATAAGAAATCCGAAGAGCTTAGTTCCAAAGAGGAAGCGTTGAAGCATCTTAAAGTGAGGATAGTCGAGCTGGAGTTGAGCCTCAGTTTGTGTCAGCAGCAATTGACCGATAAACAGAGTCAGATCAGTTTCTACGAGAAGCATATAATGGATATGCAGCAAAAGAAGGAAACAAGTAGCAGTGCTGATCCAAAGGTAATTGCCAATGAATAAGTGGTGTTTAAATAATTTTCGATTTAATTGCAGAAGAAAATCGAGGAATTGAAAATCGAACTGAAGAAGAAGGATGAGGCAATAATTGAATACCAATCGTTGTTGAAGAAGGATCGCGATGAACATAGTTTGGCTGCGGCAAGGTTCCAAGAGGAGCTGAAGCAATTGCAGACTAATCTGCTTTCAGTTCAACATAGTAAAAAAACTGAAACAAAGTAAGTTTGAGTTTGGTGTTAGAAAATATATTTTATGTATTTGGTTTAGACCGGAAGTTGAGATTCCTGGAAGGGCAGCTATTGAACAGTACATCATCCAAGTACACGCATTGGAAAAGCATACTGCCGAGTTGCACACGAATGTTACATCGCTGAAGTCTCAATTGCAGGCAAGTAGACAGGAGGCGGTGAGGTGGAGGAGCTTGGCAACTGAACGTTTAGAAGAAATGGACAACTTGCGGATTAAGTATTCTTTAATGCATATATTTTCGTACAATATGGATTTATAAACATGTTGCCTGTAGACTCGAAGAACAGCACCAGAGTGAAATCCAGGCTTATAAAGAGGATACAGAAAAGTGGAGAGACGAAGTGAAGAATATGCAAGTTTTCCTTGGTAAGTACAGGAAAGATATAGCGAGTTTAAGGCCCGACATCGAGAAGGAGTTGAAGGACAAGGAGAATAAAATACACGAATTGAGTGTTACCATTAGACAGTTAAGGGTAAGTTGGATGGATTGTAATAATATATAATACATGATGATTTTTTTTTGTAGCGAATCAAGAATAAACCTGAGGCGAGCAGCAGCGGTCGCGATGATAACTTCGAGGATGTGAAAGAGAATTTGGTGCGGGAACACGACGTGTTGAAGAAGCGCTTCGAGCAGCTGATGCACAGAGAAAAGAGCGCCCGTGAAGAGATCAGAAGTCTCAAAGGGCAATTGATGAAGAGGTTCTTAAACTAATTTAGCTTGCTTTTGTTTTTAATCGATCAACGCTGTTTTATATTTTGCTGCTTGCCTTTTTTGCTTAGACCTATTTTATCGGCGCGGAGCGACACGTCGAGCGCGAAGGAGCATCAGCTGAAGAAGATCGGCATGCTGGAGAAGGAGGTGGAGGAGTTGAAGGATAAGCTGGAAAGGGAGGCGGCTCTCAACGAGGCGCATAAGGTCAAGGTGAACGAGGACTTTGAGAAGTGGAGCAAGCAGAAGTACTGGCAGCAGACCGCGGAGAAGTTGAAGGTGAAGCTGAAGGACAAGTCGGACGACTACGATAAGCTGCAGCAGACGTGCTCCGGGTACAGGATCCTTATTGAGAGGCTTGAGAGGGACAAGCACAACGTGGAGATGCGTCTGAAGAATCTGAAGACAAACACTGCCAATTTCAACGTCGTCCAAAACGATGCTCTAGAAATGGACAATCAACGGCTGCAGTCTGAAATCAGCGGGTTGAAGACGAAGCTGGAGATGCAGCAACACCATTCCGGCGCTCTCGGAGCGGCGATGCTGCAGGAGAAGCTGGAAGCGCAGGAAAGGAAGATAGCCATCCTAGAGATGTCAGCGAAGGTAAACGCCAAAATTTAAGCAGCGCTAAATTCCAACCAAATACCGCCGATAGGCGCTAACACGATTCCTTTCTTCTCCATCTCGAGCGGTAGCTTTGTCTTAGCGCTAAGTTCGAAATCAAATCTTTGCAAAATCACTGCTAACGCTAATTTGGCCAGTACCATTGCGAAACGCATTCCTGTAACGATTGCGAGAGAATAGTATAAAAGTGCAAACTTTACGAAAAACGCGTTAATTACCAATGCAAATCCTAGGACCGTCACCGAACGGTATGTAGGCGTAATCCTTTAATTTATTAGCGAAACGATTGGGGTCAAAGATTTCTGGGTCCGGATGATACTCGGGATCCATGTGCAATGCCATTGCCGGTATCAGCACTGATAGACCCTCCTCGATGATCACATCGCTGTCGGGTATCTTGTAGGACTTGGTGCACTTCCTCAGGAAGACGGGAGCAGGCGGATACTTCCTCAAAGATTCTGCATTAATTTTTATAATTAATATGTAAAAAAAAAAAACAAGTAAATCGTAAATCACCTAGAACTATAGATTCCATGTATCGTAGATCGCTAACGGTTTCGTAGGTGATTTTGTTATCGTGCTCTTCCAATACTCGCAATAATTCGCTACGTGCTTGGTTACGAATCGTCGGGTTCATGGACATCTCCATCAGAGCAAAGCTTATTGTAGTAGAGGTAGTTTCGAATCCTGCTAGGAAAAAGATGAATGCTTGCGCTGCGGCCTCGTTCATAGTTAGAGCTTCCGCCCCTTCCTTGCTCATCATCTGCATTAATAGCTGCAGGAAGTCGTTGCGCTCCACGCTGTTATCTTTCCTGTATCTAACGGTATCTTCTACGACGCTTTGGAAGAAATCCGAAACAGATTTCGCGAACACCCCGAGCTGAAATATTTTCGCTAATTGCGGAAAGCTACGGATCACAACCATTTTCAGAGTGTCCATAGGTGTTTGAGTGAAAGCCCTCCGTCCCATTCGGCGGAATTCCGCGTCCGGATTACTCAAGCTGTTGCAGTCGATGCCGAAGGCGCAACAGCCGATGACATCGGTTGTGAATCTCGCTAAGATATCTTTGATTTCCACCGTCGAGGAAATCGCGAGTTGCTCCCCAATCACCGTAGCCATCTGCTCGGTGCAGTGGAGCATGGGTTCGAACATGAATTTCGTTTTTCCAGCGGTGAAAGCGGGCGTCAACTTGGTTCTCAGCGTTTTCCACTTTCCGCCGGAAAGGGAGAACAGGTGAGCACTAAGCGGGTCGTTGATCTCGTCGTAGTGAATTCCGCGATCGTTGAAATAGCTGAAGTCCTTGGAGAGGACGCACTTGACCAGTTGCGGGTCCAGGATCACGAGGACTTTGCGACTGAAGAAGTAAAGACCCGCGTATCGGTGACCTGCGGCTTTCATCGTCCTGTACAGCTCGCACACCTTATCGTTGATGCTGTTCTTGCGGAAGACGATGGTGAAGACGTTGCCGAACGGGAAACGCGGTTCGAACGTCGCGACGCCGCGTCTCTCCCAATACCGATGAGCATCTTTATAATAGATATAAACGAGGAGGAGTGCCGTGAAGGCCAATGCACCAGCTGCGACCAGCATCGTTTACTGGTTCACTATGCAATGCATGCAGTTTCTGACTCGGATCGAGATCATCCGCTATTCATTTTTTTTTTTGCTCTCACTCTTTCTCTTCTTTTGTGTTCGCAGGGGGGATGCGAATTGCGCGCGGAGCTGGAGCGCTCGCAAACAACCAACTCCAACCTGCAGAAAGGCAATCTGAGGCTGGAGGCGGACAATTTGGAGCTGCGTCTGGACTTGGAGAAGTGCGGCAAGGAGTTGCCTCTACTGCGTGAGCAGATTCTGCACCTGGAGAAGTAAACGAACGAAACAACTTTTTTCCCCCACATTTACTTAAAGTGCACTTTTAGCTACGCGGGGGTTTTAAAGAGCGAGCAGCACCAGGTCACGAATTCGGGGGATCACGCGCCGGACTCGAGGCGGATACCGGAAATGGAGAGGACGATATTCCTGCTCAAGCGAATTGTCGAAAAGTTGCAAGCCGAGAACAAGCGGCTCCTAGCGATTTCTGTGCGTGATTCCAAAACCGAATGTTATTAAAAAAAAAAAAAGAAAACGCTCTTTCCCATCATCTCAAATACAATGCAATTGCATCGAAAAGTTGTGGGATAAGAGTGCGCGGTGTTTATGTATGTGAGAACAGTTTTTTTTCTCTATTTGTGCAGGATTCTGCGGTGAAGATGAGGCCAGAGGTTGGAGGAGGCGGCGACGCAGATCATCAGAGACGGCTCGAGGATGAACTCAGACATAAAGATGAACTATTGGCTCGTGTTAAAGTACTTCTGCAGAAAGCCGCCGCCAAAGAGAAGGACCTACTAGAGCAGGTGATTGATTATTATCGGCTATCAGAAAACAAACGTAACAAATTAGTACCAATTAGATCTATTAGAGATTTACTAATTAATTGACCCATTTATCGATAATAATTGAAAGAATTATATAAAAAGAAAATATAATGCAATTATTCATGTTGCAGGTGACTTCTCTGAAGTCTTTGATCCCGCTCGAGGTCAAGGAATCCTCATCATTGTAGACTCGATACGATTTTCTTCTAGTTCTTATTTCTTAAGTGCATATAGCGAATAAATATAGTGAATATATCAAATATGCGGCAAGTTTCCCATCAAGTAAATCCCGATGTTATTTAATAAGTAATCTCATAATTTTACGGTTTACTAACGCGCTTATGCAATTCGCTATCAATTTTTTTTTATTGCATACTGTTATTTTCAATTCGTGTAGAAATAGATGTTTTCGTTAAGATTATGCGCGCGATATGATATATAAATCTGTGTGTGTGTGGATTTGAGTGCGTGTATATATATATATATTTTTGGGTAAGAGAGAAATATATGAAGGTCAGAAATAGCAACGTAATTCCTCGATGAATAGATAATATACAAGTTGAAAGCAACCCGAGTCGCGCTCTTTAGTAGTCGTGCTGCTTTCACGAGCACACTCGAAGCTGTTGCTCTTGCTGTTACCGTTACCACCGCTGTATCTACTACTTTCACGCTAAGTTCACGCATTCAACTAACATAGTCGATAAGTTTTTAGCAATTAAAATAGGGAAATATGGCCCTTAACAAGTTGGCCCTGAACTGCGTCCTCGGATCGGAGGTTCGCGTTTTGTACAATGCATTATCGAAGAGGACACATTTCGTCTATCAGCCGGACAAGAAAGCTCCAGTCGATGGTAAGTTTCGAATGTCATCCACATGTTCCTTAAGTTAAGTGCTGTATTCGTATGATGAGGAGGTTGAAAAGACGGCGAATAGCGCAGGCGTTGTGCTCCAAATCGTAAGATACGATACGCGTCACCATTTCGCGCCTCGCCGCATCCGATTCAAATCTCTTCAATCTACCAGCAGATTAACAATTGTTAACACCTGATCATTTCTAAACAATTAACACTTTTCATCATTCACAAATAGATCCCATGATTCGACACGTTACAAACAATTTCATTCCATTACATTTATTAATTTCAAGTTACTTTAGAATTGAGTTTTTCAGTTAAAGTACATTCTGTTACATAAAATATTTATTTCGAATAGCACAAAACACTTAACTTTTTTTTTTAAATAATTATTAAACATAGTTTTGCACTCATACACCTATTAGTTTTAATATTACGTAAAGACAGAACAAAACAACTAAAAACTGTTTACTAGCAAAACTAAATTTTATAGATTCTACTAACTACTGATGACTTTGATTTGAAATCTAAAGTTAAACTAAATATTAAGTGTCCTAATGGACTGTACGCTATTTCTAATGATTATCACTCTTGTTTAACAAAGATTAACATTATCTTATCACAATACACAACAATTATCACTATTTCAGCATCAACAAAGTATCGATGAAAGTTAATAAAACTCTATATATTAATAATATATTATTGAATATTATAATTTCAAGTACATATATTAGTACTATACATATTGATGTGGTAGTTTTTGTTTCAACAAAATTATATTCGGAATTATAGTCTGTTAAATGTTAATGTAATAATACAAGAATAAAACTTTTATATTTTTCTTTTAAAGGTGAGAAGACGAAGATGAACATGTTTCAAGCGATCAACAGCGCTCTTGATACAGCGATGAAAACCGACAATACTGCGATGATCTTCGGTGAAGATGTCGCGTTCGGTGGTGTCTTCAGGTGCACCATTGGACTGCAGCAGAAGTACGGCAAGGAGAGGGTTTTCAACACGCCACTCTGCGAGCAGGGAATCGCAGGATTCGCAATTGGTGCAGCAAATGTAGGCGCCACGGCCATCGCCGAAATCCAATTCGCCGATTACATCTTCCCAGCATTCGATCAGGTTAGATAATCTATACGACGGTTCGGTTCGATAAGTTGCCTACCATGATACTCGACATTTATATAATTGGCTTATATCGAACTCGTTAACGCATACAGCTCAATTAGTAAGAAAAATAATTAATACTATAAACATTTCATTTTTAATATTAATAATTAGTTCTTTTCAAATTGCAATTGTTGAGGTTTTTTTTTATTAATTGTAGGTATTGTTAGGTGAAATGAGAATGAAACAAACGACTTTTTGTTTCTTTGATCATGTTAAATGAATAATCGTATTGGCATTCATGTTTTGAGTGTTAATCGTGTCGAAGTAACGGCTCGAGACTATAATTAGTGTAGAACAAATGTAGGAGTTTATTACAGCTACATAGTTGTAGCATTTGTCGTGCATGCAATTCCTTTGATAATATGTGAGGGTCTTAATGAACTTGTGTATGTGTATAGTATGCAATTAAATTTGTCATGTATTTCTCGAAATCTCTAACTAAACTGAGACTTGGAGTTGGAGCTTTAAATTGTTAAATTATCTAATTTTCAAACTTTTACTGTGAATCTAATCTCTTTCTTCTATTATTTTTTTTTGCAGTTGGTGAACGAGGCCGCTAAGTGCAGATACAGGAGCGGTGACCAATTCAATTGCGGCAGTCTGACGGTGAGGGCTCCATGCGGGGCCGTCGGTCACGGCGCCCTCTACCACTCCCAGAGTCCCGAGGCTTACTTCTCGCATACCCCAGGACTCAAGGTGACCATCATCGTTTCTCTTTGGTTTACTTTTGATCTGTTTGTTTGTATGTATATAACGTAAATTGCATTGCAGATAGTCGTCCCAAGAGGACCCATCAAAGCCAAAGGTTTGCTTCTGGCGTGCGTCAGGGAGCCGGATCCTTGCATCATGCTCGAACCGAAGACTTTGTACAGAGGAGCCGTCGAGGAGGTACCAGACGCTGATTTCGTCTCGCAAATTGGAAAGGCCGACATCTTGCGCAAAGGTACACTGTTTGGAAGGTTTGAGTTGATAACAGTTAATTTGGTCAATAATTGAAATTCGTTAATTGTGTAAATGTTTTCGAATATCAGCATTGTTAATTGCTTATATTTGTTTAGGTTTCGTAGACAGTAATGTTATTGATTCGTTTTGTGTGTTTGTCTTTTGTAGGTGATAATTTGACTCTGATCGGTTGGGGAACCCAAGTGCATGTGCTGCTCGAGGTTGCCGAGATGGCGAAGGAGCAGTTTGGCGTTTCCTGCGAGGTGATCGATCTGGTCTCGATTCTACCCTGGGACAAAGAGACCGTCTGCGAGGTGAGAGATAGAGTGAAAGACAGAGAGACATCTGCCGGTTTGGTTTTTCGGGTCGAAGAGTTTGCTGAACTCTTTGCAGAGGCAACCTGGGGAAAACCGGAGTTTCGGGTTTCGGGCGAAAATTTACTGCTGTCCACCATTAATTGCCAGCACCGATGCATTATCGAAAGTGCTTATTTCTTTTTCGTCCTCATCTCTTGGATGAAGATTCGCGATTCTACGTCTTTTGATATCTCTTTGGTCTTTTATTTCGTTTAATTTAAACTGAAACGTTTAAGGGTAAACGGTAACATGTTTGTTTGTGACTAGGGGAGATAAGCAAGTCTAGGATGCAACGGATTTAAATTCCTCGTGTTTGTAGCTGGGGAATTTCATCGGGTTTAATTAAAATAGCTTCTGCTTTGCTTTTATCGTTGATAAAAGCGAACTGAACGCGTTTATGGGGGGGCTAAAAACCAGAGCCGGACACTATGATCCGATGAACTAATAAGAAATAACAGCTTCGTTACGTTAACTGTTACAAACGAAGCTCCAAAGTTGTAAAATAACATTTTCCTTAATTGCTTTATGCAGACGCGACAATACCCTTTTTTTTTCTCTCTCACTAAAACTTATAACGTTAGTTAGTCAATGTTTACCTTGCAACGTACGCTTTAATATGCATTCAATTAAGTAAGAGCGTTCACACGGGCGTTCTCGGAGGGATTAATTTAATTCCAGTTTTAACGTAAATCTTCCTTTTCTCTTCCAACACTTTAATATATATTTAATGAGGCTACAGGTGTTCGTGCAGGGGATTAATTATCAAATATTTAGCGCTGCAGAAAAATTCACTATTTAATTATCACTTCTAATGGTTCGAATTAGAACTGTAATGAAATCCGCCAACTCTCAAACGCGATGAATTTACACTGTATTCAAGACAAAAAAAAATCAGTTTAATTGCGCACGGCAAAACTTGCACGGAATAGAAGTTGAAATTTGTGAAAATTAAAAGTATAAAGATAATTAGATGGTCTCTTGAGATGATCATAAGACGATCATCAATAACGAAGGATAAGCGCGAGAGGCGAGTCGAGGCTAGGCAGTAAAGTGCTATATTAATAGTCCTTATAATAATAATAATAAGTAAAATGGTGCGGCGGGTTGTAAAGTGGAAATTTTACGAGGTCCGAGGAGGAGAGTTCTCTTATTTTTCGCGAATCGAATAAATAAGAACGAGTCCTCTCCATCCACCAGCCATCCTTAACTTCGCCTAAGAACTTGTTTGTTCGTTTGTTTGTGTATTTATTTACAGTGGTTGCTGATGGTAACGTTTGTTTGTTTTTTTTTCTCTCTGTTTTTGGTCTTGTGCAGTCGGCGAGGAGGACAGGGCGTGTTTTAATAGCGCACGAAGCCCCGTTGACATCGGGTTTCGGTGCTGAACTCGCGGCGACGATTCAGGTAATTTTCCACTCAAATATATATCGTTATCCGAAAAGGTCACGGTTCCACGTCGGACTTTCCATCTTTTCAGAGTTTTATTTAGCGAATTAATGAATTTGTTTTCTGTTTTTTTTTATATATTCATTTCGAATCTGCAGAAGGAATGTTTCCTCAAGTTGGAAGCTCCCGTATCTAGGGTGACCGGTTTCGATACGCCATTCCCGCACATCTTCGAACCTTTCTACCTTCCGGACAAGTGGAGGTGTCTGCAGGGCATCAAGGATCTCATCGACTACTGAGCAAAAGAAAAGGTCGACCTGTAAATAAATAGCTTGAAACGAACCACCTAATTTTCTCTCATCCTCTCGTCGAAGGTCGTTGTTGTTGTTGCTGAAGAAGAAGGAGATGATGATGATGATGATATGCCGGGTTATGTAAAGGCGACTGACTCTTCTTTCACTTTCTAATGCGAACGCGCAGAGTTTAATTATAGTAATACCGTAGGCACGGCAGAAAACGATGGACGAAAGGCGAAAGAAGAGGACGATGCAATAATCTTCAGACTGAACACGTTTTTGAACAAAACGAAGAGATCCCTGCTATCCCTGCTATTTTTAGTTTCCCTTCCAATAAACATCCTCGCCACCTCATCAGAATACTTGTATTTAAACAAGTTGTATATATACTTTGCAAGTAACGTGTAATTCGTTATAGACACACATTAAACAAACAAAGAAACATGTTGAATGTTCGCAAACAATTACCATAATATCGGCAAAAGAACTATTCGAATGCGAATTGCAAAGGGCGAGGCCGGCATATTATAAAAATAATATAAAGAAGGAGGAACAAAAAAAAAGAAAAAACGCGCGCGTCGTAAAATTTCCATCACTTCTCACCTCGCATTCAAATAAATTATTGTTATTATTGCTTGTTTTATATTAACCGGTTTTATCTTAAATCGATGCAAAATCAATAACTTATTTGAAAAGTTTCCATTTAGTTTTTGAGAATTTTTATCTATCCTTTAGTTTCGTATTCAAATAAGTAAAATTAAACTACAAATACTTGCTGTGTAATTATCATGGGCGTTCAACAAACTAATTCTAATTACATCTAAGAGGAATTAGAGTCAACTAATTACAATTAGATGACGAAAAGATGGTTTTTTATTAGAAGTTGAACGCTTTTGGAAGATTGTTATTTTCAAAGAATTTATGATTGAACTGTTAAAAATTGTACTAAGATTGAGTGAGTGAGTTTGCGTTTAGTTTATGCGGAGATAATCCATCTGCATTATATTGCATAAGGCGAGCGCGTTTCCTAACCTTTAGATATGAATGCGAATTGTAAAATACGCCGTAACATAGCAACAACTAAACAACAAGCGAAGAAACAAAAGTTATTTAGTTGGAAACAAAAGAATCGGGATCACTTGAGTTGAATCGAGTGAACGAAACAAAAACAAAAAAACAAAAAACTCGAGGCACACCCAAGCTAATGAACATAATTAGACTTTATCAATTAAACGATTAACGAGTCCATATTAAGAATTGTCGGAATATAACTCGCGTTATTGCGAAAATTCGCAAGTCAAACCGAAAGAGAGAAAAAAAAGACAAATGAACGAAAAAGGCGTCTAAAGTTGCTGTTGCCATGTAACGAGCCCACATCTAATTACTATTCACGAAATTCACGTGTTTCTGTAATATAATTAAGCCATTTCTATTCTCTCCGCTACGGCCAGTGTTCATGTATTTCCCTTTCCTTACTTCTCGCGCTTATTTAGAGCACATTTTCGAACTAGCAACTAGTTTTATTATTAGTTATATTTCTTTTTCTTTTTTTTTGGTGAACGAACGTTACCAGTTTCGTTGCAAATTTTTCTTTCGATTTTTGCGCCCATTTCGACACGCCGCGGTCGCAGCAGCAGCAGCAGCCGCTTTGGAACTGCTTTCTATCCAAATTTATGTTCGAGCGAATGCACAGACACTATTTCATACGAGCACAAATTGTTCGCTCGCAAAACGGACGTAATTGGAACGGTGCAATAGTTTTTTAAAATTCGATTCCGAAAAAAAAAAAAAAACGCGCGCGACGTATGCAAATGAAGACTAATAGAAACGTGTGTGTGTGTTCACCTGCAAATTTGCTGCAACGCACAAACACTAAAATTAAGTTTCAGACTTTACCAATCATCCGTTTGCTACCTCTAGCATTTAAAGATACTTAAATGAATTATTGCACACTTTTAAGTGCACTGAGAGGAGATGTTTCTTTGCAGAAGGTTACGTTACCAATAATAATTACGGTTAATGCATTAAGCAGATCATTCGATACGACTTTATTCCTCAACTCTAACGTACTTATTACTATTATTAAAAAAAAAAATAGTCAATTAGTGAACGTTCATTTTGCTAACAATCTTCATGAAATCACAATTTTTATTATTTTTGCAAAATATAATTTGTCAATTCACTATTTGCGTCTCTCTTTTATTTTATTCCTCCGAAAAAAACAAATGCAATTACGCAATACAATTTGGTAATGCAACAGGTGGCGTTGGAATGTGTCAGGGGGAAAAAAAATAAATAAATAAAATAAAAGAATGCGGCGCGTATTTTGTTTCTTTTCGGAACGCACGCGTTCAGATCGGAATGGATTCGCGCGGTTTGTTTACATTTTCGCGAAGGTGAGAAGAATTCCTTGTGAAATTCTATTTGCACGTGCATCCGATGAAGAAGAAGAAGAAGAAGCACATGCAAACACGCAAAGAGAGAGAGAGAGAGAGAGAAATAAAACAAATGAAACGAAATGAGAGTGTAGTGTGCACGAGAGAAAACGTAAATAAATAAATAAATGATGGGAGAAGAAGTTAAAAAAAAAGCGAAACGAAAACAAAACACATATAACGTGACCTTGTCACACCTTCGTGAATTTCAAGTCTGCACGTCGCCCCGAAAGAGTTGGAAAATGTTGTCCTACGTGCGTCTCCATGGTGTCCGCATTTTTTTTTTTTATTAATTAATAAATTTTCAATATCTAGTAGGTTTTGAACTTCCATTTTAGTATTATTATAGTTAATGAAAATCTTGTAGTTTGCATCCACAAGTACTAATTTCAGTAGTCTAAATAAGTGAAGACAAAATAAAACTGTTTTTTTTTAAGAGATTCATCGGCGAAGAAGGGAACGCTCGAACGTTTCTTTTACTTTTCCCCTTGCGTACTAAATGTGTATGAGCTAATAACTTATATTACGTGCCTTTCCTGCAAATTACTTGAGCAACAATAATCCGTTCGCTCCGCACTGGACACGAATTAATGAGAAACGAATACACGTTTCGGTTTTTCTTCTTTTTTTTTGTTGTTGTTCTTAAAAGAAACTAAAATTACAATCAAAAATATAATCTACGTTTCCAATCAATTCTAACAATATTTGACATTTGACAGTTTAATGACAGTTAAATTTGTTTTATATATCCAAGGCAATCAAATTATTTAAGAATTTTGTTCATTTACACACTAATTAATTTTGTGTGTTTTTTTTTAATTAGTAATTATTTATTAGACATGTGTAGTATGGAAACAGAAAGGTGCTTTTCGATTGGATTATGCAAACAGATTAAAACGTTACAAGAGAAGAAAAAAAAGACATTAAGAGAAGAATTAAGTACAAAAAAAAGTTTAAATGCAAAAAAAAAATAACGCTCGGGCGGCAATTTGTATGCGGTAAATATGATAATACATGACATTTAGCAATTGCGTTCAGGTCGCATTACTTTATAGTTGTTAGAATGTAGAAATTATAAAAGAGAACGTTTTCGTGATATTTTTTCCTTTTCTCTCTCTGTCTGTTTCTCTCTCCTCTCGCTCACCGTTTTCGAAGCACTTTTACTTCAACCAGCCATCTCGTCTCGCAATTTATTATTTGTATATGCACTTTTTATCTTGATTAATTTTCGTTTAATATTGTTACAGAATTAACCGGTTTCCTCTGCGATTGTTTAAAAACCTTTCTTTCTTTTTTTTGGTGTACATTCAAAATATGTGTGCATGCACAGACTGCACGTTATTATTGTGCTGGACAAGGACGTCGTCATGGGTTACAGTGCAAATGCAGATTCGTTACGTCTGTAAATTGTTCACACTTATAACGGCAAAAACAAAACCCTCAAAATTCTTTTATTTCTTACATAAAATCTATATGCAACGAACAAATCTCTGTTGGTACTTGTCGTTCCACAAGGCAGTGTACTAGGTCTTATTTATACCAAATTTAACAGAACTAATAATATGTTTATGGTTAATTAGTTCATCTGTTGTAAATGACAGATTACTTCATCAGTTACATCAACAACAAAATGCTTGTTGCAAATATGGAGCGGAAGTTGAATTTACAAACAAAACAAAATTGGTGTGTTCACACTTTTGTGATTTCCTGTTCGAAACTATTATCGTTTTTGAATTTTTTAAACCGCAATCAGTTTTCGTTGCTTCAATCAATAAAGTCATCATTACTTTACAAAAATAGGGTGACTAATAGCTAGTGGGCACAGGTTCGAATCTTGGTCAAGTCAGGCCCTTTGTGAGCCCTCTCGGCGCTTGCAGCAATAGGACAATCGTTCATCACAGATGGACAGTCAAATGAATGAGGATGGACAATGAAAGTGTTAAGGATAACAGCAGATTCCAAGTCAAAGAAATAGTGGAATCGCTCAATATACTACTGAAGTTAAACTACAAGACTCTTTGCAAAATGGAATTAATCAAGACGGGAAATAATAATATTAATACATGTTGTTTATTTTTAAGTTTTGCGGTGATGTGCGCTATCTGCGGAGAGAATCGTACAAAACCACAGGAAGGAAATAACAACATGTCAAAACAAATTCGAGAAATTGAATAATATTATTGCTTCCTTTTCCCTTCATTATTATTCAACTTAATCATTGTTTTCGTACAAAAATAAAAAACAAAAACAAATCCTGTCACCTAACTGTCAAAACCTGTGTAAATGTCATCGAACGTCATCCATGCTACAAAACAAATATTAGACCTGTCAGACAAAAAAAAAACCCTCATGATATTACTTATTATTTTTAATCAATTAATTTGATTAAATTTAATGCATCGTCGCTTTAACATTTATTCGCTTCGTGCTTATGCTAATTTGGTAATTAAATAACAATAAAAGAAAAACAAAAGAAATTTAATTGTTGACACAAGTCTTTCAATTATCATTCTCGATTTTCCTGTTTCCTATTAATCGATTAACCAAATGCGTATTCGTCTTTTTTTTTTTCGCCGCTGTTGTTGCCAACCTCATTATATAATATAAAGTA